TTTACAACTTGTTCTATTTCGGAATAAATAGGGTTTTTTTGGTCTGCATGCAGCAAAATCAATAATTGCCAAACGGTCTCCAGGTATAGTTATTTTGGTAAATACAAGACACTTTATTAAGTTCTGATTATCATTTTTCTTCTTGAAAACAGTTGAATGGTGGATCCAATTTGGTGATTCCACCCCTGAGTTACAGAGTTTTGCTGTAAGAGTTTTGGGCCTCACTTGTTCTTCTTCTGGGTGTGAGCGAAACTGGAATACATATAGTCAAGTACAAACAAAGAGAAGAAATCGGCTATCAACACTCAGAATGAACTCCTTAATATATATTATGCATAACAAGAGGTTAAGAGATAGGAGGTTGAGGAATAAGAGGTTGAAGGATGATGAGGACCCGTTGGTGTGTGATGATGTGTCATCTGATAATGAATGGTTCATAGATGATGAGACAAATTTGTCATTATTAGACTTACAGCTAGAGGATCTAAGTGTGAATGTCTTGAGAGGCGAAGCATATCAAGTGGGCACATCTACTAGTACCACACCACATACATCTACTAGTTCTGCAGCACAACTATCAAGTAAAGGTATTCCACAACTTCTTATATGTTATTGCATTATATTTATATCAAGTGAGTAATTAACATGAGAATGAATTAATGATCATTCTTATTGAACAGGGAAGAGAAAAGTGAGTCATATGAAAGATGATGAAGATATGACATTCATAAATACAATTGGAGAAGAAGATTCCCTTGAAAACCCATTTAGTGATGGGATATGATTGGATTTTATATGTTCCTTCTTAATTGTACTTTGGGAGTTCTGATAGACTATAATTTTATGGTTTTGTACTTTAGAACATGCTTTTATTGCTTATCTTTTCTTAATTTCCACTAATTCCACTTGTCATTTAGATATTTTTATTGTATGATAGAATCTTGTTATTATTTATCTGCTAAAACCCTTAAATTCTCATTTACGCAATTCTGCGTCCGTGAGGCTTACTACGCCTCAGACCACCTCGAGGCTTACACCTCGCCTCACGGACGAAAACCGCCTCGAGGCTTATTTACGCAATTTTAAACCTTGCTAAATAAAAATAAGTTTAGGTGAAGATTCTATCATTTAATTTAAAATTAAAAAAATAATTAAATAAAACAATGTTTGAATAAATTATTTTAGATTGATGGAATGTAAATATAATATGATTCCAAATGATTCTTTTTTATATTGATGTTATTCAAAGTATATGCATCACCAACTGCTTCGTCAAGCATAAAGAGACAATGGATAAATTAAACCTTCCAACCTCAATACAACTCTAAACTCCTAGAATATGTCACCATATGAGAATCTTAGAAGAATAAGTAAAGCATGTACTATTAAAACCCCCTCATGATAATTCATCTCTATAAATTTGATACATGAAAAACATTATGTCTATGCTTGTATTATACCAATCCAATATACTTAGTTGTGCCTTCTTTTCTATTCCTGGGTTCCATATTACACATGATATTAACTATGCATATATCTACTATATGCATTAAATGAAGACCTGGTATATTGAAAACATCATGAAATTATCGATAAAGAAAATTCATTATTATTCCACATTCCATTTATAACATCAATCCAAAATTAGAGAATTTAACCATATATAAAGATCAAGTGAAACAATTTCATTTTCACTAAGTGCACAAAAGAAAGAAATAAAAAAGAAAAGATATTATCAGATGTGTTCAATGATCTCCTCTAAACTTCTCCTTGAACTTATAGAATTGATTCCACAAACAAAAGCCAAGCACTCTAATGGAATGTATCTATTACTTCTCTGAATTCCATTAGTTGTCACTCCTAAGAAAAAATCAGGGAAGCACTATAAAAATTGAAATTAAACAAGTGACAGAACTCCTCTACTATCATTACAAATGAACTATTTATAGAAAAAACACAGAAAATGGATTCTGGCGTCGTGGTACTCGAGACATTATAAAATGAACTAACGTCACAGCACTGAAGGGTTTCCTCCGATGCGGCACTTGCTGACATGGAACCGCTGTTTAAAGAATGGACGCGTAGCTTCGCTTGCAGATTGTGACATGAACGATTTTAACTATAGCACTGCTAACAGTTGAGCACATGGTTTAAAATTGCGCAATTAGAGGCGCGCCTCAAGGCGCGCCTTTGCGCAATTTCACCAAAAAACGCCTCGAGGCTTACGCAATTCTGGACCTGGATGAGGCGTACGCCTCACCTGGACTGAGGCGCGCCTCAGAGGCGCAATTGCGCAATTCTGGGTGAGGCGTACGCCTCATAGAACCGGCCCCACCCACTTAAAATGTAGGCTTTTCTCCCCTTCAACCCGCACGGCATTCCTCCTCTCCGAAAAAAAGACCTCCCAGCTCTCTGTACGCGAAACTGGACGCGTCCCGCACGGTCGGCCAAGCTTCCCGCCGCTCCTCCCGCCGGCGCCGCCCCTCTCCGGCGAAGAGAAAAGTTCCGGCCACCCTCTAGGAGTACTCCACATTCGATTGCTCGGTACCGCTCAAAATAACTCTTACAATAAAATTTTGTTCCGGTACCGCTCAAAATAACTCTTATATGTTAATGAAAAGAATACTGTGATTTGGGAAAGATGGAGTTTAAGTTGAATTATATTTCATGTTGTTTTATTATTGGGATATTTTGATTGCACTTCATATCTTGTGCATTTTTATGTTTTATATATTATTTACTCATTACTATATACAAAATTTATCATTTTCTATTTACACAATTTTTTGATTTTGAGGCTTACACCTCAAAACGCCTTGAGGCTTACGCCTCGCCTCACGAACGAAAAACGCCTCAATACTCGAATATGCAATTTTAAACAATGAATATAAGCTATGATGCAATCCTTTAATCCACCCGCTTAACTTTATAAATAATATACAATCACAAAGCCATTGATCTGAAAACCAAAAAAGTCAACAACAACAACATCATCATCAAGCCTTTGTCCCACTATGTGGGGTCGTCTACATGAATCCCATCTTGGAAGCCATACATTTATTGAGAGGTATGATGGAGAAATATAGAGAGAATGAGGATCTACATATGATATTTATTGATTTAGAGAAAGCATATGATAAAGTTCCAAGAGAAGTACTATGGAGAGTTCTTGAAAAGAAAGGAGTTAATAACGCTTATATTCAAATCATTAAAGATATGTATGCATGTGCTATTACTTGTGTTCAAACACAAGGTGGTTTGACCAAGTATTTTCCTATTTCGGTTGGATTACATCAAGGATCAGCCTTTAAGTCCATATTTTTTGCTTTAGTCATAGATGTTTTCACTAGACATTTGTAAGAGGATGTAACTTGGTGTATGCTTTTTGCTAATGATATTCTTCTTGTTGATAAGACTAGAGAGGCAGTTGAAGGTAAACTTGAATTATGGAGGTCAACCTTAGAGCATACACCAAGGTACATCCTTCAATGTTTTACCTTAACCTAGAGATGTTGGTTAAATAAGAAAAAAAATGCTATATCAACATACAAAAATTTAAAACTATTTCTAATATAATTAAAAACCCTCTAATGTCAAATTGATGATGAATATCCCTCTTCACCATCCTTCCTTTCTCCGATGTCAAATATTAAATGGACTGACCTCTTGGGCTTACGTGCAGAGCGACAAAACCAATTTTCAAGAATCATGATTAGATGGAATCATTGAGATAGACAGATTATGATCCCTTAGGAATCAACCTAGTTAGAGAAAACAATAGGGAGATAAACAAAGGAGAGAGGAGAGAAGAAAGAAGGAAGAGGAATCAAGGTGGGAAAAGCGAAATTTAATTCAATTTAGTTCAATAAAAGATATTTAATTCAATTTAGTTCAATAAAAGATATTGAAGAATGCAAGCACCAAATTCTGATTTATAAATAAAATATAACAATACATACAAGCAATAAACCTCAATTTACATAAATAGGGATATATGATAAATTCAAACTGCTTAAAATTCAAAGCTAAAAATATGTTCTAGAAATTCTATTCATATAATTTAGGAAATATATAATTGATATAATTTTGAAATTAAATACATAAAAATTAAATAAAAATAAAAGAAACAATGGAAAAAAATAGAATAATTTTGATGTATGTTTTTTCATGCATCAATTTGTCTATATCTGATATTGAAAGAAGTGGATACAATGTTCAATCCAATCAAATATTCATGAGAAAAAAATCATTATTCTCTCACGTACTATACACTAGAGTAAATCTCAATATCTACACAGGCATCATTTCAAATATAAAGAAGTTGAACAATGATGTTTGAGACACGGGCTATCATTATGAAAGTAAATAGCTTACCCCACGCCATAATCAACATTATATACTTTTAGATGCCACAAAAACAACACATTCATTCACCAATTCTTTTAAAAGATAGAAACCTATCATAAATATTTTATTGATTGAAACTAGGAAATAAAGTCTTAATTATCCAAAAGGAAGACCTACGGCCAAATACAAACTACATACCGCACAAGCAACTATCAAATATTAAGTTTTAAAGAAAGTCATAAGCCAAACTCAAAACTATGACGAAAAAGAATTAATATTCTATATTTTCCTTATGACCCGATTGGTCATTTAAAAATAGAAACCATGTTTTGAAACAATTAGATTTTCTAATCCCGTAGTTTGATTAGGTGCAATTAGAAATAAACATTGGCTCTAAGCTCCACTAAACTTCTTAAATTTTAGTCAAACATAATGATTACAATATCACAAAGAAAATGAATGAAAAATGAAATCATCATATTTCAAAATATCTTTTTCATCTACAATCAACGAATGAACTCCTGGGCTACAAGTAAAGCCCACTATTAAATTCATTAACTAAGATATTTCCAAAAGGCCGCAGGATCCATCTGCATATCCCAGCAAGGAAAAAAAATAACCACAAAAGAAATCCATTATAGCAACATACACACCTTATTTCCAAGTTTATCAGCTGAAGAGATTCACCCAACTTATCCTTCGTCAGCCCAGCAGATATCTCCACTTGTCCCCCACCTGGACAATGCTTCACACAGACCAGTAAGAAATCAGCAAGGATTTGTTGAAGCCTTAGACTGTCTCCATAGACATGTTCGCTTATTAAGTTATCAGGTATGTCATAGTCAACACTTATTCCCTTTTCTTTACTTGAAAGTATTACTTGGCTAACAGCAGTAACCACCACATCTTTTAAAGTAAATTCATCCATTTCCAACTCCAAACAGCTACAAGTGAAGAAAATAACGTATTAACTTCAGAAAAAATCAACTTATTAGAAGTATTCAAAGTATATAAATTATTTTATGGAAATAAAAAGCACAGATTAAATACCAAAATCTATTAATTTAATAACTAGAAACAAATATATCTAGAAAACTTCAGAAGAAGAAGAACAACAATAACAACAACATCAAGCCTTTATCCCACTACGTAGGGTTGGCTACATGAATCCTTTTTCTCCACTGTGTCATGTTAAGAGTCAAATTCTCATTTAAATCTAATAAAAAGTTCATTTCTAATATTTTCTAACCAAGTATTTTTAGGTTTACCTCAACCTTTCTTAACATAAATCAAATCTAATACATATACTCTCCTAACCGGGTCATCGGAAGGCTGACGTTTTATGCGACCAACCATCTAAGGCGACTCTCTCTAATCTTATTTGTCACTAGAGGTACTCCAACCTTTCACGTATATACTTGTTTTGCATCTATCTCTAAGAGTGAAGCCACTCATCCACCTAAGCATCCTCATTTCTGCAACACTTGGCTTAATTTTATGCTTCTCTTTTAATAGCGAACATTCTATGCCACGAAGCATCGCACATCTTATAGAATTTTCTCTTAAGTTTTAGGGGTACTATCTATCACACAATAGACCCAATGCATTCCTCCACTTCAACCATCCAACATAAATTCTATTAATAAAATTCCTATATATTTCACCATCACTTTGAATAATAGACCCAAAATATATAAAATGTGTACTCTTATTAATGACTTGATTGTCCAAAGTCACAATCACCTCACTAGATTTATTATTACTAAAATTACACTCCATATATTCGGTTTTAGATCTACTTAAATAAAAAAATTTAGTCTCTAATGTTAACCTCTATAATTCAAGTTACCTTCAACTCCATCTCTCTATTCTTATCAACAAAGAAGAATCTTATCAGCAAAAAGCATACACAAGGGAACATCCTCTTGCAAATGTCTACTAAGAACATCCATGACTAAAGACAAAAGATATTGGCTTAAAGCTAATCCTTTATGCAATCCAACTGAAATAGGAAAATATTTGGTCAAACCACCTTGTGTTTGAACACAAGTAACAGCTCCTGCATACATATCTTTAATGACTTGAATATAAGTATTATTAACCCCTTTCTTTCTTAGATCTCTCCAGAGCACTTCTCTTGGAACTTTATAATATACTTTCTCTAAATCAATAAATATCATATATACATCCTACTTATTTTCACTATACTTCTCCTTCAAACCTCTCAATAAATGTATAGCTTTCATAGTGCCTATATGGCATGAATACAAATTAATTTTGAGAAACATTAGTATCACTTCATAACCTATGCTCAATAACTCTCTCCCATAATTTTAAAGTATGACACATTAACTTAACTCCTCTATAATTCGCACAATCATGTGCAACACCTTTATTCTTAAAATTAGGAATCAACACACTCCTCCACTCATCTGACACTTTTAGTCTTCAAAATAATATTAAAAAGTTTGATAAACAAAGAAATTTCTTCATCTCCTAAGCATTTTTACACTTCATGTTCTTTAAAGCCTCTCTAACTTCAGTTTTACCAATACGCTGAAAAAAATAAAAATCTCTCTTTTCATTTAAGGTGATAAGGTCACTAAAGTTCGTATTCTCACAATATTCATTGAAAAACTTATCAAAATATCTAATCTACCTTTATTGAATAACTTCTAATAAAAATACTTTCTGATCTTCATCCTTAATATAATTTACTCAAACTAAATCCTTAATTCTCTCATCTCTTTGTTTGGCTAACTTATGCATATATCTTTTGCCCGCCTTAGTATCTAATACAACAACAGCAAGCATTTATCCCACTATATGGGATCGGCTACATGAATCCTTTTTCTCCATTGTGTCCTGTTAAAAGTCAAATTCTCATCTAAATCTAAAAAAGAAATGTCACTTCTAATATTTTCTAATCAAGTCTTTTTAGGTCTATCTTTACCTTTCTTAACATAAATCAAATCTAATACATCAATGTTCACCATCACTCTGAACAATAGACCCAAGATATCTAAAACGAATGCTCTTATTAATGACTTGATTGCCCAAAGTTGCAATCCCTCCACTAGATCTATTATTACTAAAATTACACTACATATATTTAGTTTTAATTCTACTCAAACGAAAGCATTTAGACTCTAAGGTTGACCTCCATAATTCAAGTTTACCTTTAACTCCCTCTCTAATCTTATCAACAAGAAGAATATCATCAACAAAAATCATACACCAGGGTACAACCACTTACAAATGTCTAGTAAGAACATCCATGACTAAAGCAAAAAGATATGGGCTTAAGGTTGATCCTTGATTTAATCCAACCGAAATAGGGAAAAGATATGGGCCAGCTAGCTCCTCCTTAGTATTTAATCTATTATATAAATCACTAAAAAATGAACTCTTTACATCGCATATTACTTTCTTAGACTATTTACGGGTCTCTTTATATCTTTCCCAATTATTATAACTTTTACACTCAAACTAATATTTATAACAAAGTTTCTTTTGAACTTTTTTACACATTTTGTATTCTAACACTAACAATTTTTTACTATTACGAGCTTTTTCTTTCGATACTCCAAGCACATCCTTTACAACATTGTTAATATCACTAGCTATTCTCACATAACATTAGCTTCTTCACGTACATTCAAAATATGAAAATGTTGAATCTTACTCTTAAAACTAATTTTGTTAGTGTTTTTTAAATGTCTACGACTAATCCTAAAATAACATTTTAATTTAGAGAACATCTGAAGAAGAATAAAATAAAATCAACAATAATAGGATCAGGCAGTATAATGAAGAACACTTCTCACATCAGTTTGCATTAAAGCAATTACCTGTCCATTATGTTCTCTAGGTCTAGATCATTGAGGATCCTATTCAACTGATAGTGACATTTTGCTCCGGTGTTCAGAAGTAGCCTTTGTTCTTCATCCAACTCAGTCCCCTCCAGTATTTTTTGTGAATACATAATCCCGGAGAGAGGGTTTCTAATTTCACTCCTAATATATGATAAAGCCTTTAACTTCTTCATTGTGGTTTGTTGTGTCAACTGCTGAACTTGTATAACTTGCTGGAGCTCATGGCTATTTGAATGTAGAAAGCAAACTACTCCAGTTATGTTACCTTCCCCATCAACTTTTTTGCTGACTGAGAGCAAACACTCCACAGATCTACCACTGCGGCTGATGAAACTGAAGGAACGCTTCTCCATCTCATGACAACTGATGGCATTATTTATTAGAATGCTGAGATTAACAAATGAATCTTGGTTCTTTATACGGCAACAAGCCATATTAATCCCAAACACCTCTCCCAAAAGCATTTTGCCAATTAGTTCATCTCTATTCCATCCTGAAAGCTTAGCCATGGCTAGATTCCACTCAGAACACCAACCAAACTCATCTGCACCGAAGATAGGGGGGATAATTGGGCTGGGGTTCTGCACGATGGCTTTGTAGTCTCCTTCTATCCGTGTAAACTTATCCATTATCATCTTATGACTGGTAATATCTTGAGCTACAAAGCATACTCCGACCACATTATCATGGATGTTCCTGCTGGCACATGCATTCACCACCAGAATGACTGGGCCATCATCTCTTCGAATACCAAAAGTTTTAACTTGAAATTCAATATTTTGAACCTCTTTTCCTGATCAAAGGCAACAAAGGAGGAAGATAACTAATAAAAATTACTTGCGTTATTTATTAGCTTTTAGAAATAAATGGAGCTGAAAGAAATGAAACGTAGAAAATTATGAGAGCGGGGGATTTAAACTAACCCTGTAGTGCTAAGAAAAGCATCTTCTTGACTCCATCCACAGAAGAATCGTCAACAAGGGTGAGCAGATGTTTTCCCATGGCTTCATCAACAGAAAGGCCAGTTAATTCAGCAATTTTCATATTCCATCCATTTATGAGACCATCAACATCAACTGCCAAAATTGGCACCGTGGCTGTCTCAATCAAACGAACCATCTCATTTGTAACTACTCGCAACTCCATCATTCCTTCAAGTTTGAGCTCAGTCATCTTAGAATCAATCGTAGCCTTCTTCATTGAATTATCAGTACCATTGATTGTCCCTCGAAGTATAAGCTGCAAGGAATGAATAGCATCCATCTCATGGTCACTCCATGGAAAGCTCCTCATCTTAACAACATCAAGAAAAGCCTTGAAGGAGGATCTTGGATGCATTCTACTACCATCATCCTTATCAGACGGGTCATGCTTTTCACCTCCCCATCTAATTTCAGTAGCCGCTGGGGACCGAAACCAGAAAAGCATGTCCTTAGAAGTAATTCTGGCAGCAGCCATTCCACAAATTACGTCACAAAGAGAAAAGGCACCAGGATAACCAGCTTCATGCAGGCTGTCTGTACTTAACCCTGTGTAATCTGTGTGACAATTACAAAGCCAGTTAGCAAGGTCAAAAATCTGAGACTCAGTTGGAGTAACCCCAAGTCGCCAAACTTTGTTTTGGTAAACAAGCGCAGCACCATCACACTTAACCAAATCCATAATGTTAGGAGTTTGAGTTATGATTCCCAGAGGGACAGAATCCCGTAGCAGCATATCACACAACATTGTCTGGGTTCTCAGAATATTCTTCTGCCTAATCTGGCTTTCCAACTCAAATTCTTTGTTCACATGTATAGCAAAAACTTGCATCAAGAATTCACAGGCATATCTTAATGGGAATGGAACAAACCTCGGAGTCTCATTATGGCAGACCACCAGTCCCCAGAGCTTCTTACTTTTCTGCTCCTGCTGATTCTGTTCAGCCTCATCACCATCATCATCTTTTCCATTCACTATCACAGCCATGACCAGAGAAGCAATTGAATTCATATTTTCCATATATTGTAAATGGCAACTGTGTGGTGCCCTAAGTGTACTGCCACAGAAACTGATATCAAAAGGAAGACTCTCATCTTGATAAATCCTTACATGCTTTGCTCGGCAGTCACAGATCATTCGAACTTTGTTCTTCATAAAAAGAAACCTTGCAGCCTGAGGTATATCAGTAGCGGGATAATGCAGGCCAAGATATGGTTCCATGCCTGGTTTTATAATTTCAGCAAAAACCTCCCCATGATCATCTTCATGAAACTTGTAAGCCATGACCCTATCATACCCTGTCAGCTCAAACACCTCTTCAACAACAGCTTTACAAAGATTCTTCATGCTCCCACCACGCAATGACTGAAGCCTAGAGATGGCCTTCGCAGCAAGTTTGTAAGACTGTAAAGCCCCAGCAGCAGTCATGGGCACATCACTAGGCTTCACAGGCTCAAAATCTACAATCAAACAACCAGTGACCCTATGAACAATAGCATAAAATGGTCTACCAGAGCTCTTGCAGTGGACAAGAATTGGATTAAGCAGAGAAACCTCTGGAAAGCCCAACGCCTTCTGAAGTGCTGCAGTACTAGGGGAAGTAAAGAGGCTCTTCACATCTGTTCCAATGCCGAGTGTTTGGTGATCCCCAACACTGGGAACTGCGTGGCTGACCATAGTGAGCATCTCTGAGGCATTCTCAGAGAAAGCTACGACCTTGAAGGTTTTCTCATCTAAAGCCAGCAAACAACCAAATGGTTGGATTAGCTTGCCCCTTTGGATGTGTTGCAAGTAGGCAGTCACCTTCGCAGATCTCCTTTCGTCAGGTGGAGCCCTTACTGACTGAGAGTAGTCAAAAGACGTGCCCATGGCTTCAAACGCAGAGTCAAGCTTCGCATCCACGGTGGTCTGAGCCATTGCTCGAGCAGCACTGTGCCTGCTTCTGCTGGAGCTAGAAGAGGACTGTGAGGGTCTTGATGTAGACATTTTTTTTCAAACGAAAAGTGCTTCTATGGCTCGAGTTGAACAGTTTCAGAATGCTCAAAGTCAATTCACAGCTCAAGATTTCCAGATACCCAGCAAGATATGACTATTAGAAAGAGAAAATAATTTCTACTACAAAGATATATATGACTATTTTCCCAAAATAAACAAAAGATCCATACATCTTCGTTGATCTTACGATGCTGCAAGCACCAAATCCCCACAGGATGTTTTGAACTCCGAAGGCTCCTTAAAAGGTGTCAAGAAAAAAAAAATATCCTTCCGATCTCCGACCATGTAACAAAATCCAAACTTTCTCAGATGCCAGAATCCTAAAGAAAGAAATTCCTAACTTAAATCTCCGTCTTCACAAACTAACATAAATATATACCTCGCGTCACCGAAAGCTATGAAGCTGAAAAACCAGCTTCGCGCGAGAATTGAAACTGTGGCAAGTAGGGAACGATCGGCGGAGAAAAAATTACGATTGATCGATCGGATTGAAGAAGAGGTTTCGGGGAACACACAGGTAGTCTGCGGACCTCGTGATGTTGGTAAAGCGCTGGTACACCACCTTCAAGAAACAAAGAGCTCTCGCCCACTCTGAGGAGAAAAGGCCGACAAAGTCCATGGCAAGTGGATGGTAAAATCAATAAGATATTGTAAAAGCGGGAGCAAGAAACTAGAAGAAACCGGGCGAGCCCTCCACCAGCTCTGTTCGGATTTTGGCGAATTTGTGTAGTTTTATTATTATTTATTTATTTAAGAATGGGAAGGGATCAGAAAGAAAGTGATCCGATTTATTGTTCTTAATTTGTGGGTTTTCTTTTTTTTTAATCTTTTTTTAACTTTTTTAATCTTTCATTGAAGAGAGTAGAGTGACATTATTGTCACTTATTTAAAAAAGATTTTGAAAATAAAATTAAAAAATCAATTAAATCAGGTTATACAATTTAACATTAACAAGACATTTATTTTATCGTAGTTTGTAACATCAAAATGATATTATAATATGCTCGGTCTTGTTGGAACCAAATCTATTAGTGGGAGGTATCGGACATTATAAACATGTTGAACTTGTGAACTATGTGAAGCTCTATAAGAATGGAGAAAAGAGAGAGTAGGGGAGTGTTTTATAAATGCTCAATAAAACTATAGTTCCCAAATTGGTAAATATCCATTAAAATCAATCAAAAAAGTTCAAGTCGCTCAAATTATTTATCATCGCCCTTATTTATAGTATTCTGAGTGCTACAAGAAAAAACAAATAGAGGAAAAGTAAAAATATGTAATGCTACATCGAATACCAGCACAATACTACACACTACCCCAAACATATGTTGCCTCCTAATTGGTTGAAGGAGAGCGAAGTTAGAAGGCTTCAGTAAGTTGCCTCTTGAGAGACCTTGGATTGCTTGAGTAGGGAGAGGGGATTAAAGTGTTGTTACGAAGATGGAGAACTATGAATTCGATGGTCACAATTAGATCCCATGACTAAGCATTTTTCTATAGCTGAGTCTCTAGTCGGGATTGTCGCTCTAGGAGAGAGTGAGTGCCTGAGTTTGTTTTGAGGGGGAGCAAGTGCCTGATGTAGTGGACCAAGTATATGGCAAGTGTTGGGTTGCTAGCTTAGTGAGGAATCCCTGACTCACCACATACAGAGCGATCTCCTCGATAGGCTCGAACAAGTAACGCCTATTAATCACTCCAGGTGTGTTCTTTAGGAGCTTGAGGCGAGTGGTTCCTCTCAAACCATTAGGGGAGTTCTCTAAGTGCACCACCCTTGAGGTTGAGTTCCTCCACCATGACCCACGAACTACTTGCTAAACACCTGTGAATGCATATGCACGTTTTTTGTTCACTGATTCACTTGGCCTTTTATTGGGCGGGTGGAGAAAATGAAGAGTGAATTAAATTGATGAGTACTAAATAAGGCTAGTAAATAGAAAATGAGAAAGTAAATATTAATTTACTACCATGTTTATTATACCCTACAGGATCGCTTTGTCTTTCATTGATGACGGTGATGCGGCATCACCTCTTGCTTGGACCTTCTAAATACAAGGTTTGTATTGAGAGGGCTTCACACTTTTGATTTTGCGAGTGTAGAGATATGGATCCTTATGGCTTGGCTTGATCTCATCTCAAATATTCTAAGAAAGTCCCCTTCCATCAAGGCTGGGAAAGAGATATTAGGGAAAAGGGCAACTAAGGCATCATTAAGTAATGTGACTTAGGTATTGCTGATTAAGGTAATTAACAATGTCCTTTTATATTGGAGACCCACAAACTTGTTCTTGTTCCTCATACTAAGAAGAGTAAAAGTCAAACATGAGGCGACGACCACCATCGTTAATGTGCCAAACATATATGATATTATTAAGCTCATCTTTGCAAATAATATTATCTAGAAAGAAAGTCATTAATGTAAGATAGAGTGTGTAGTGTGTGTTTCCTCGAGTGAGTTGCTAGGGAATCCACTAAGCAAGTAAGGGATGAAAGCTTTGGAGAAGTGGGCGATGGGCAGTACATAAAGGGAACCATCCTTCGTAAACATTTTCTTGGAGATCGCCTATGCTTTTTAGATATAGAATTTTATATTGACACCATTAGTTGTTGATGATGGGGGTCACCAAGAAGGGATCAAGAAGTAGTTGAGCAAGCTGAGAATGTGGTTTAGGATGAGCATGAGAACATATATGTGGCATTCAATGAGAAGCATGTAAGCTCGCTGCCATGGGCTTGCTATCCTATGAATGATTTGCTAATATCTTTCATTCCCATAGTCAATCCCACTATAAGAGGACCTCGGGTGTTTGACTATTTTAGAGAATATGATAAACCTCCTCAAAGTTCGTAAGGCCAGCATCTTGAGGAATATGTTGGATTTATAGGAAGTCAAGAGCTAAAGAGGGAGGTAAGAAAGTTGAGGGGAGAGCTCGTTGAGTTGAGGAACATGATGAGCTCCTTCAGTCAAAGATAAGGGCAGACTACCACTAGGAGAAGACATCCCAATATATAGAGGTTAACAAGTTTATGTTAGATTGTTTGAGTGGGATAAATGGGTTGACTTAGGTGGCAACGCCGAATCCCGGTTATAAGGCTTTTTATGGCAGCGTATAGGCTTGTGGCTCTTTTCTTTTTAGGGTAATATTATATAATGTGTGTGCCCACAGAACTTTATGTAAAAGATTAAATTCATTAATTAAATTTACTAATTTTATGATCATATTGATCACATTTTTACATTTATGTCTTTTATTGATATGGTAAATATTACATTATGTGGTTAGTGGGACTTCATTGCGAGTACTTGATTAGTATTACCCTACACTTATGGAAAATAATGGATATTATCTAAGTGTAAGTGCCATGTCAAATAATATTAAGATGAGTCAAGTATCATCCCCATGAGAATTATAATGATCTTAATAATAATTTAGTACTACTTCTACTTATTGCTAGGTTTATGTTATCATAGAAATTAAAGGTTTTGTGCTTAGTGATAAAAAACTACCACTAATGAACTTGGAAGAAATTCTATGCTCAATTATTTATGAACTTATGACTGATAAGAAATGTTGTGTGCATAGATTTATCTATCCTAAGAGGTACTATAAATCAAAGCATAATTTACTCCAAATCTCAGTTGAGTTTATCAAAGTCTTTAGCAAAACATAGCTTTATTATAGCTATATTATTACCTTAACAATCTCAATATCCTAAACCATCATATGCCAATGCTAGAAGAACTTTATTCTAGTATCTCTAGTTGCTCCACAACTCCTTGGTTGAGAATCTTGATCGCACTAAATTTTAACTTTGTACACAACTTATATACAAATTAATTGAAGTTCAAAGGAACTAGAAACATCATTTAAAATTATTAAGCACTTAGATCTACTCTATGTAATGCATGTATTATTATAATTTCATAAGCCCAAAAAATGATTTAGCCTAACATTGTAATTAATTTAAAAGCTTCATTGCAAAGATAAAATAGATACAAGTGTAGAGTTTTAAGGATAGATAAAACTAGATTTATGTCATAACAAAAATGTACAACATTTTCTTACCCTTTGATCCATCTCTCCTTGCTTACACACACTCTCACTCACTATTGTCCACGCCTAGATCTAAGTATAAGAGATATGAATGGCCAACACCCCTCATTAATTTGGCCATGCTATTTATATAAAAAATAAATAACTATCACTAATGCCATGACATTCAGAGTGGTAAAGTTGCAACGTTCATATATTAAACTACCATTGCATAGCTCATGAAGAATAGCCCTGTGGTGCTCAATTCAAAATAATGTGTTATTTTGAAAGAATAACTGAATTAACTGCTTCGTTGTGGTGCTTTTTTTATTCAACATTGTTGTGCCCTAGTCAACACTATGGAAAGCTAACACTATGGTGCTCATATGACACTAAAAACCTTTTTGCTGCAACAACCTTCTCTCCTCTCTGCCTTAAGGTAAGAATTTGTCCTTGAATGATGTAGTAGTCCAAAAGTTCGATGCCACGATGTTGGGTATTCTCTTGAATTTTTTCTTTTCCATTTAATTTTTTAGCACAAAATCAGCAAGTTAAATAAATTTAATGTAAATTTTCATAATATTATTTTAAAACTAATAAAATCACCCAAACTTAAATTATTACTTATCTTCAAGTAATCTACATGATCTCTATTTCATGGCAATCTTATTTTCTTGGAGTGCAATATTTTGAATTGTTTATTTTAAGAAAATATTAATTTAATGGATTAAATAGTAACACCAAGTGTTAATAATTCCATTAATACAGTCCTATAACAACATAATATTTCATTTCCACTGATATTCCTTTTAAAATCAACTCCTAATGTGTATGTGAAAATTTTGATTAGCTTACTTAGGGTTAATGATCTTGGGTTTAGAAGAACTTTATATATATTTAATTTTTCAGTCATAATATAATTTTCCTTATATACCCTAATTCTTACAATTCTCCTTAGGTTAATTCTGTTTTTGACCCTTTACATGGAGTTAAGACTTGTAGGCACCAATTTTTTATGTTTCAATACTAATCAGCTTTTCACTTTGCTTTTTTTTTTTTTACTTTCTTCTTTTGTTTTTTGTTTTTTTTTTTTTTTTTTTTTTTTTTTTTTTTTTTTTTTTGTCTTTCTTACTTACTTTCTTCAATTTTTTTCTTATTTTTTTCTAAGTACTTCTTAATAATTTTGAATGCATGTTTATCTTTCCCCCTTATATAATCTAAGTTTTTACTGCCAAAGGTTCATCAAAGATCTTATGATTAATACTCCTTAAAATTGATCCAAATATTCCATTCTAGGTAATCCCTTAATAAATTAATCCTAAGATAAGTAGTTAAGTGCTTTCGTTCTTTCATGAGTCTTCTTTATTCGAAAGTACCCATTTTAATGACATTACTAGTTATTATACAAGTTAATTAATTTTATTAGTATCTACTTTGTGCATCATTAATCGCATAAGTTATTATTTTTCAAATTTTCAAAATTCCAAAATTTATAATACAAGCAATTAAAAGATATGATTGATTAATATTCAACATTGTAATAGAAAATATTTGAAGGTAAATAATAAATTTAAGCTCACAAATATTTTAAAAAAAAAACATAATTTTATCAATAGCATATAAAAAATAAAGAAAATACAAAATAAAAGTTATTCCTTCTTTCTACTCTTCATGCAAT